TAAGCTGGTAGAAATAAGCTTAGGGGGTCTTTCATGCGGGTCCCCGTGTCTGTACCCTAGAGTTCAGAGTGGGAAGGGAACCCTGACAGCTTCTGTCTAGCTAGACTCAGCTAGCCCTGTTTCTCCTTCTCTCCTTCCTTTCCCCTTACACTTCCTTCCTGTGCTGCCTCTTATCAGCCAAGGGCTGATGGGATAATTGGCTTAGCCAGGCAGCCTGATTGAGTAATTACCCCCATCAGCTGCCTACTGGGGAACTAATTTAGAGTGATCAGAGTGCAGACTCAGCTGTTTGCACCCTGCACTCTGTCACACATTCATAAATATTTGATGTAGTATTTTATTTCATTTGTGATATAATATGAATGCAAATGAAATATTATTCTAGATAATCTGCCAAGATTTATTGAATACAAACTATTTTAACTGAAATCAAACCAATGTACCTTGCAGTGAACAGCTGCAGCTACTTTAAAGTAAAGTTAAACAAGCATGAAAAACAGGTATGAAAATAACTTTACTGAAAAACTAATTAGCCCAATACAGTACAATCTGCAATGACACAGGAGGTATAAAGAGCATGGTCCGCTTACAGCAATGACTCACTGATTGTTGGAAATGACTGACCAGGCCACAACTTGATTATGATAAAACAGTACATTCATGCCAAATGGCAGGAAGTCCTGGTAGTCTGTACCATCTGGTTCCTCACCCCCACCTTTTTTTGAACGTGTACCTCTATCCACCTTTTCTCGGCACATAGTCTGCAGACTGTATCTACACTAAGGCCTTGAATACAGGTATTGGGTAGTGGCACCTAATCTTCTTTGGAGAGATGGGTCATCGCCCCTCATCTGTCCCAGGTGGTGGTTTGTAATGCATAATTTGTGGTGGTATCCTGTACCTCACCTACCAGTTATGGGGTTGTGCTACCATACCGTATAGCCATCAGCAATGTCTATTCAGGGGGACTTATTCTGCACCAATTGAAGTTAGTGGAAATTTTTCCCATTGAAGACAAAGACCAAAAGATCAGTGCCATGCCATATATGAAGATTGTTTGCATTTTTAGGAAGGCGTGTTACATATCTTAAAACCTTTAAATATTTATAGGCATAGTAGTATCAACAGCTGTCCAAATTAATTTTGACACTTGTAATTACTGCCATAGTAGCCTATTAGATAGTATGATTTATTACATATCCATTTTATAAACAGCACATAACTCCATAACCTACATTGTCAAGGTAAATAACAAAAATACACTCAAACAGGCCAGGAACATTTTGAAAACTTTTCTCTCCTACCTCTCACATACTTCCAAAGAATTCTTCAGTACTATTTATGTAACTAATGGTGGTAACAGACATATTCAAGCTGAATTTGTAGATCACTGCACCAGAAAGAAAAGAGGTACCATTATAACAAATACAAGATCTGATCTTGATACAGAGGCAATTACCTGGAGAGAAAATGAAAATTTCATTTCTCATAATTCAGATCTTGTTAAGCTAAATATATATGAATGCTACAGCTCCAGAGAGCATATTTTTGTCTGATCATGTCATCCTGAAGGCAGGATCTATTGTAAGACACTCTACTGCAAAGAATGGGAACATGGTGTTATCTGACCAGTCAAAATGCCACAGAAATATTGAAAAGTGAGACTTTGAAGGAAAACATGTAAAATGTATAGTTGCTCCGACCAGAAAAGGAAAAGCCTCACAACAGGGCAAAGAGAGCAGATACTTTCTGCTTTCTCTCCCCTCCCCGCCCCTATTTCCATGTCACTCTTGAAAGGCATAATAGGACCAACAAAAGAGACAGTTTGATTTACATTCTTGCAGGATTTATTTTTTGAACTAAAACCCAGGGTAATTAGTGAAATACTTCTCTTTAAACTCTCTGTTCCTGGGATGTAAACAATAATTCCCAAGCCTGGGAACATATTGTCTCTTCTGCTATGTACTGTTGAGTTTTCACTTGATAGTTTTCAAGATATGTGGTGACAAACAATTTTACTTGAGATTTCCACATTGCATCCTCATCCCGCTTTAAAAAATGCATAAATTGTTCCTTTTTTCCACCTAAGCCTTGTCCATACTAGAAAACTTACTAACTGGGCTGCAGTAAATGTCACCAATGGTGCAGCTGCATCGGTAGAAGCAAGGATATAAGGGGTTTTACCATCATGTAATGAAAATCTGCTCTGTGCAGGTTTTCATGAGATGATGGTGGTAAACACCTGTGCTGCACTGTTTCTGGCCATTGCTGTAACACAGGCACTATTTTTTTTTCTATTGTAGAGGCACCCAGAGGCTCTGTCCTGAATCCACAAAGGGACTTAAGCTTTGTGATGCGAAATGTTGCAACACCTAACTCTTAGGCATCTAGGAAATCACAGAAACAACTCTACAATCCACAAAACATGATAGGCTCCCTATACAATGAATGGGGAGGGATAAGTGGCTAAGAATGGGAGCTACACAAGCCAACATGCTACTCAGGGAGCTGCCTAATCTAGCCAATGGGAAATGCTGAGGAGAGGGGTGTGTGCCTGAAGGAGGCATCTGTGTCTGCTTGTGATCCACAAAAAGGAACCTTCTCCTGGAGTCAAACAGCTTAGAAGCCTAAGTTGTTTTTTGTGAGAATGGGTTAGGTGCCTGCCTCACTCCACACAGACCCCACTGCCTCCTTTATAACTTTTAGCCCAGGGAGTAGAGCACTTCGCTGGGGTGTGGCATACTAGGACTGAAGTATCCTCTCTTTGATGGGTAGAAGGGATTTGAACAGGGGTCTCCCACATTCCTCAGGAGCATGTACTAATCACTGAGCGCAGTGGGCTGTAGCCCACGAAAGCTTATGCTCAAAGAAATGTATCCGAAGAAGTGGGTTGTAGCCCACGAAAGCTTATGCTCTAATAAATTTGTTAGTCTCTAAGGTGCCACAAGTACTCCTGTTACTTTTGTGGATACAGACTAACACGGCTGCTACTCTGAATTCTGCTGTAGGGCTCCCTCGGTGTCTGCAGTTGAAGCTGATGTACTCTGAAAAAATAGTGAGAGTGATTGGAGAAAGGGGGACTGGGTCTCCCACCTCCCATGTGGGTACCCTAACCACCAGGCTACAATCTTATTCTCTCTTGCTCTTTCTCTCTCTTTCTGACTCAATGACCATTTAAGTGTTTATCCACAGTGGAACTGCTTCAACATAGAGAGAGAGAGAGAGAAATCCCACATCAGAATATTACATAGTCCAGTGGTTAGAGCACTTGACTGAAAGATGGGTGACCCCCCTGTTCAAATCCTTTTTCTTTCTGATGGGGGAATTCAAGGTGAAGGTCCCAAAACCCAGGTAAGTGCTGTAATCACTGGGCCGAAGTTATTAGGTGGGCGGCAGCAGTAGCACTACCTTCTCCTTTGGCTGGTTTTGAATGGGACCCTATCCAATAGGAAGCCTCTGAACACACCTACTCGATCAGACCCAACGGGCCTGAACATAGATGTTAGTGTTGGGGATGCTGCCGCACCCCTGGCTTGAAGTGGTTTCCATCATATACAGGGTTCTCAGTATCCTCACTGTACAAATTGTTCCAGCACTACTGGGCCTGTCTTCCCTCAGTTTGCTTAACTATGAGGCAAGTGTCCAGGTACCTAGAGGGAGGCAGCTGTATGCATGCTTAGAGGCAGAAATGTACATGCTTAGGGAACATTTACTGCAGAAACTTAGGTGCTGAGTAAATGTAGTTGCCTCCATGGTTAGGCGGTAGTTAAGCAGGAGCTCTGTTGCTTAAAACTGGAATTGAGGTGCCTAAGTACCGTGGTAGATTTGGTGGTCCTATCCTTTTCCTAGTGCTTGTGTTTCCGGGGTTTGGTCTCTAACACATGACAATTTTCACCTCTCCCAGCTCTGTTCTGATCAGGTTGGACTGCCCCCTGACTAGAATTCATAAGCTTAGTTTTGATCTAATCTATCACCTTCTATGCATTCTAATGTTGACATCCTACCCCCTCTATTATGTTCTGCAGAAGTGGGGTGAGATGGGGAGGTGGCAGCGGGAGAGCGACGTTCACAATCTTGACTGCAACTTTACAATAGTGTGGCAACTCGAGTTCCCCCTCCCCCTGGCGTGTGTGCGTGTGCGGGCAAGGCTGTGTGAAATGACAGCACGTGTGAGCCCCGTCCCCTGGGGCGCCCTGTGCACCACGCACGCACCTCCTTCCGTGTGATGACTGCAATTGCATCCTCACCCCCGCCCCCCTTGCGCGCTGCAGTGCATGTGCCACGGCTTAGATCACGCGCGCGCCAGTCCCAGGCTCGCGTGGTTCAAGCGCGCGCTGTACTCCTCATCTCCCCCCTCCCTTGGGAGAGGCGGCCAGGTCCGCGCGCGCGCGCCCTGGCTTAGTTCCTCATTTGCTTCCCCCCTCCCTTCCCGAGCAGGGGCCGGCGCTCTGCACTGATTGGCTGGCTGGGCTCGGCCAGGTGTCGGGCTCGGCGGCGAGGAGAGGCCGGGTAGGGCAAGGCGCGCGGAGGGGGATGGCAGGAGCCGGCTGCAGCCGCAGCGCCTTGCACTGCAATCGCAGCCTGTAGGCTCTTCCCGAGGGACGCGGGGCTGGAGCCAGGGGGGAGCCCAGCGCTGCCCCTTTCCCCGGCCGCTCCCCAGGCGGGAGCAAGCAGCGCCCTGCTGCCCTGTGCTCTTCCCTTCTGGGATGCTGGCTGGAGCTGGGGGCACGCCGACCGGCCTCAGCCAGGAGTTCCCTGCGGCGTGCGGGGGACGGGAGTAGCCGGGGCAGCGTTGGAGAGAAGCCCAGCAGCAATAGCGAAGGGAGGGTTTTATTGCATGACAGTTCTGGGTCTGATTGCTTCTTAAACCAAAAACAGCGGAACAGCCGCCTCCACCCCTCACTGCTCTACAGTGCATCCAGAGGGGGAAGGCACTGAAGGACTTGTTGACCCAGCAGGATCAGCTGCAGCGGGAATCGGTGCATTTTTGCTGGCGCCTGTGAGAATTGATCAGTGAAGTTACTGCCCTGCTTCCATCTTGCGTTATTCTGAGTGTGAGTACTGACAATTGTCCATCTCTCTCCCTGCAAGCCCTCCTGCTTGCCTGTGTACGTAATGCAGGGGGAGAGGAGATGTGTCTTGTGTCGGGATTGGTATTTGGATGCAATTGCTCAGTTGGAAACTGCTGAATGTGGCTTGCATGGAAGCAGCTCCTCCTGTTCCGAATTTGGGGCTGGATTCTTGTACAGTAGTTTCACTAACTAATGTGACACCCGACCGAGGAGAAGGGTTGGGATGATTGGGGGGGAGGGGAGGGGAGGATATCTGTGACATAATCCTCTGCCTGTATTCTCCCAATTGCATCTGGCTCTTCCGCTTACTTTGCCTGTCGCAATCCTGTTCAGTGTGGAATTTGCTCTTTTTAACTTTCCTTTTAAAATAGCCATTGCAAGTGAGTCCTATAACTAATGACACCGAATTCGGTTGACGACAGAGGAAGATGTAGGCTGAGATGTCACCCTCTAGGACAGAGAAGGAGAAACTGAGAAAGAAGGGATGATGGCAAAGCATAAGAAGGGGAGGGAGGCTGGGATTCTTCTAAGGATCTGAACTTATTTTGTACTTATCCTAAAGGTCAAAACCAGACTCAAGCCATCCTCATTCATTTACACAGCTATGCATTATTTGTAGCTATTATTTTTCTCTGGTTCTTGGGTCTTTCTTCTTTATATGAACTACATGATGTTTATATGTGTATTATAATGACCTATGATATAGAAATAGAGAGGAAATACTCCCCAAGACATTGTGTGAAAGGAGGGACATATTTCCCAAATGAAATTTACAACAGCAAAGCAGTTAGATCCTGCTGTCTTTCCCATCTTATAAAAACAACATTATCTGGTTGAACAGATCACCTCTTTTCAGTGATTTAATTTATCTACATTAAAATGTTAAGATTTATTTAGTTTGATTACAGGCCAGATGTCCGACTAGCGTGGCAGCCTTTTTAGTGAGATCATTGTTCAAACACTGTCATTGCAGTTATTAACAATAAATAGAATATTTTACTTTTGACTAACTTCTCTGAGGCCATTCAGGATTGTACTGTAAGATGTGTAGCACTCTCCCACTGCGTCCTTTTTGCCAATACAGCACATAGCACCATTTTTTTTAAAGCCGAAGAGCACACATTTTCCTAGTATCAAGGTCAGTATATTGTGACTACTGGGGAAAATACCATATGGCTTAGGTTAACTTGTCTTGGAGAATCTAATTAAGTAGTATTGAGTTGTTTTGTGTTTTTATTTTAGATTAATGTAACCAAATTAGAACATAATATGAAGCAAAATATTTTAGTGTGGGTGCCTCACTAAAAATATTCTCATGGATGTAAACAGTGCGTAGAGACGTACATGGACAGATATGTGGGTTTGTTTTTCTTTTAATCACCTCCTCCTTTTTTTGAAAGTGTGGATAGGTGTCATCTTGACAGTTCTGGAGGCTAGAATCTTTTACTACTAGAACATCTGTAATATGGGGACTGGTAATAAAGGTCTCCTTTACTTTCCTGACAATATGTCTCAACCCTATTTTGGAAGAATTGCCTACAAGTGATAGGATAATTAAGTTTCCATATTCACACAAATCTTTGTGGTTCTGTTGAGACTGTCAGCAGGCTTGCCAATTAATGACAGTTGTTGTTTTTTTCTTTTTGGTGATGTAGATATCAGTCCAGTTCCTAGTGGACCGAAGAGACAACCCACTCATTTCCTATAGCACACTGAACAGTCACCCATCACGTAGTAATGACACATAACCTGTAAGTGAAAGATTGTGTCCCCCATTACCAATCCCTTGAAGGGTACCAATACCATGTTTATGGATTTTTTTATTGTACCTAATTGTATCCGGGAATGTGTATTGATGTCTCATGCCCTTACACCATCCAAAATATGCAGCCATTTGCCAATCTTCTTGTGGAATCTGATGGCTAATTCGAATGCAGACTTCAAGTATGCACATGTAAACTTTTTTTAAAAGGCGCACAGAACTAGGCCCTGAGAGCATTAATGTGCAATATGTACATAGCTGTTTCCTGGGACAGGTGCACAAGACCTGCTTAGCATTCCTAGGAAGTCATTTTTTAGAACTGTCTTTTTATACCAGCTAATGTTCCTGATGAGCTATTTCCATCATAACTTGCACTGCATGGAGGTAGAACAGGACTACAGTCTAGAACATGCCAAAATGAGGATAACTAATAATGGTTTCAGTTTCCTTGCTGCCCAGGCTTCCCACGCCAGCTCTACCAAACAAATGAAACTACTGTTAGAAATAATAGCGAAGTCCCAGGAAGTGAATAATAGTTAAGTCCCAGGTAGACTGCATAGGGCTACAAAAGGATCTCTCAAAAACTGGGTGACTGGGCAACAAAATGGCAGATGAAATTCAATGTTGATAAATGCAAAGTAATGCACTTTGGAAAACAATCCCAACTATACATATAAAATGATGGGGTCTAAATTAGCTATTACCACTCAAGAAAGAGATCTTGGAGTCGTGGATAGTTCTCTGAAACCATCCACTCAATGTGCAGTGGCAGTCAAAAAAGCGAACAGAATGTTGGGAATCATTAAGAAAGGGATAGATAATAAGACAGAAAATATCACATTGCCTCTATATAAATCCATGGTACGCCCACATCTTGAATATTGCATGCAGATGTGGTTGCCCCATCTCAAAAAAGATATACTGGAATTGGAAAAGGTTCGGAAAAGGGCAACAGAAATGATTAGCGGTATGGAACGGTTTCCGTATGAGGTAAGATTAATAAGACTGGGACTTTTGAGCTTGGAAAAGAGATGACTATGGAGGGATATGATAGAGATCTATAAAATCATGACTGGTGTGGAGAAAGTAGAAATGGAAGTGTTATTTACTCCTCATAACACAAGAACTAGGGGTCGCCAAATGAAATTAATAGGCAGCAGGTTTAAAACAAACAAAAGGAAGTATTTCTTCACGCCATGCATAGTCAATCCATGGAACTCCTTGCCAGAGGATGTTGTGAAGGCCAAGACTATAACAGCGTTCAAAAAAGAACTAGATAAATTCATGGAGGATAGGTCCATCAATGGCTATTAGCCAGGCTGGGCAAGAATGGCGTCACTCTGTTTGCCAGAAGCTGGGACAGGTTGACGGGATGGATCACTTGATGATTACCTGTTCTGTTCATTCCCTCTGGGGCACCTGGCATTGGCCACTGTTGGAAGACAGGATACTGGGCTAGATGGACTTTTGGTCTAACCCAGTATGGCTTTTCTTATGAATTTTACCAAGTGCTTGCTTTGAAAAATTATTCTTAGAGAAGACTTTACCACACCTGAAGTAGAAGGAAAACTTAGAGTTTAATGTGCTCAAATCAGGGAGTCCAGATAATTTCCATCCCAGAATACTGAAAGAGCTGGCACCTGAAATTGGGAGTCCAGTGTGACATTACGCCCCATATTCTTTATAGAGATATTGTTATGATATGAATATGGCATAACTAAGATGTGTTTTGTGCAAGATAAGGCATGTGAGATATCATTGGAAAGGTTATGATCAGGGCTGGCTTTAGCAAGAGTGGGGCCCGATTCCTGGGGGCGGGGCTTGCAGCAAGCCCCACCCCGAGGAATCGGGCTGCGCTCCAGCCAGGGTCAAGGGGCTTGGGTCCGGGCTGGAGCCGCTGGGTCTGGGTCCAGGGGTGCTCGGCCGGTGCACTCGGCCGGGGCCGGCACCCCAGGGCCCGAGCTGAGCCGGGGCCAGGGCCGCTCGGGCTGGGGCCGCGGGGCCGGGGCCGCTCGGCCGGGGCTGCTCGGCCAGGCCGGTGCACTGGGCCAGAACCGGTGCCGGCGCCCTGTGGCCCGAGCCGACCCGGGCCGGGGCCGGAGGTGCTCGGCCGGGGCCGAGCCGGCGCGCTCGGTTGGAACCGGGGCCAGAGCCGCTTGGGCCGGGGGTGCTCGGCCGGGGGCGGGCCGAGGCCGGGGGTGCCCGGCCGGCGCGCTCGGCCGGAACCAGGGCCGGCACCCCAGGGCCCGAGCCGGAGCCGGGGGTGCTCGGCCGGAGCCGGACTGGGCCGCGCCTCCCCGGATCCCTCCTCGCACCCCCCTCCGCCCCAGTTTACCTGCTGCCGCCTGCCCCTGCTTGTTTTCAGACTTCCCGCGAATCAGATATTTGCGGGAAGCAGGGGAGGAGCAGGGGCGGAGCGTTCAGGGGAGGGGAGGAGGGGGAAGTGAGCTGGGGGCGGGGTGGACAGCTGCGAGGCCCTCTTAGGTGCGGGGCCCGATTCAGCGGAATCGGGTGAATCGGCCTAAAGCTGGCCCTGGTTATGATTTGTTGAATGTGATTATCCTATTTGTATGCATGTATCATTTTTGTATCTAAATTTAAGAATATGACTATGTATCAGTTACAAAAGTGTTTGCATCTGGGGAACACCCACCCACCCACCTTCCTGGGATGCTTCATAGGGCCGTTGACTCATGGCTGCTTTGACACTGCAAGGTCATGTGATCATGTTACCTGGTACTGGACTCCATCTTGGACTACTAGTATTTTTCCATCAATAGAGGGTGGGGATCAAACTGGGAAACAAAGGATTCCTGCCATATGTAATTCTATTTAAGGCAGGGAAGTGAGTTAATCAGGGTTAATTTTTCACTGAATCCCCGCCCAGGATGACTGCTGGAAACATCTAAGAAACAAAGATAAAAGGGAGGTGGGGGGGGAAGGACTAAACCCAGTCTGGAAAAGGCGTCTGGCCTGTGAAAGCAATACCTAGAGTTTTAAGTTGCAAGCAAGAGCAGCTTGTCTTCAAGAACCTCTGCAATCTGCCTAAAGCAACATTTAGGGTGAGAAATTACCACTTGTAACTAGTTTCTTTAGTATATTAAGCTTAGTTTGCATGTTTGTTTTATTTGCTCAGTAACCTGCTTTGATCTGTTTGCTATCCCTTATAATCACTTAAAATCTTGTGTAGTTAATAAATGTGTTTTGTTTTCTCTAAAAC